CGCATACATGACGTGGGCGGAGGCCTGCCCAGAATGGGCGGAGCGCGCTCTGAAAGTGTACAGCATTTTCTACAAGTCCCTCATAATTCGGGTCGGGGAAGTCTTAAAGAGCCGGAAAAAGGTGGATAGAGGTGGATGGAGGAGTGGAGGCCAGCTGTCATCGGTGGGCGGGGCTTGACCAAAGTGGCGGAGTCCAAAGGGTCGCAATTTGGTTCCAAGGAGTCCTAGATATTTGCGCGACGGGAAGGCAGGTCACGGACCGTTAGCGAAGCGTGTCGTTAACTTTGTTCCAGAGAGGTCCAGGTCAGGGGAAAAAAGGGCGTATTCAAAAAGAGGTCGGGCAGCGAAGAGGGGGCGAATGCTCGTGTGTGTGGCAAATGCCACCGAAAAGTAGACGGAGTCCTCATCCAAGTTGAGATTATGTCTGGACAAGCGTCCGGATATACACATAATGGGCCAATGGTACAGTACATATAAGGCCATGTCAGACTTCGCGAATCGAGCGATTTGCTGGTGTCCGCATTCGCGTTGCGGTGCCAGCCAATCGGACGATCCGTTGGCGCGGCACGAAACGAACGCTAGCGAATCGCTCGATTCGCAAGTTCTGACATGGGCTTCACATATAGAGGCTGAAATGTATTTAGAAAAAGCTGTCGTTAGATTAGCACGAACTATTATAAATATATAACAATAAGTTGAAGCTTATAACTGTACTCGAGATACATTCACAATTAGTGCGTGATTGAAGCACACGCCATTCACGAGCGAAGTCATTGGTTAGAGGCGCGAGTGGATTCAAGCGGCGATCATATAATTCGTGGAGCTCAAACAAGTATTAAAATTCAGAGGGGCCAACAATAAATCTAAGAAGCTCGATGAGTTCCCATTATTGCACCATAGCAGGCAGTTTAGGGCCAGTGTAAGGAGGGGGAAAAGAGACGTTGTACTAAGCGGAACATCATGAACAGTGGGGAACCAAAAAAGAGCCACATCGTCCATGCCACGGTCCTAAATTTTTCGTCACAGAGATGTCGGTGCTTGGATGATATCTGACGGCCAGAATGGATTCCTTTAGATGTCCTGCAAAAGCGAAACAGCCTCCCCTCATTGCGCCACTGGCTTTAGGACATTATCATCATCAAGTTCAACAAGGCTTGTCGTAATCGCTGCGGCCTGAAGCTGCTACATGATTTCTTAAATGAATTAGCTGGTGAATACCTTCTTAGAGACACTAGCTGTGACTATGCAAGACCGCTTTTGACCAGCGTTTCAGGGACGTGTAAACGGTAGCTCGACGCCTCGTCGAATCGTCCGTAAAAGTTTGTGGAAATCTTCAGATGTCGTGGGTTGTAGAGACTGTTCTGTTACTTTGATAGACTTAAGACCGTGCTTTTTAACAAGGTGGCGAGACCGCGCCTTGTGTGTTAGTTCTGCTGCCGCGGGGACTCGGAGGCGATATTTAGCGATTCTTATCCAGCAAATTCAAAAGGACGACGGCGGACTGCGCCAGATGTCGACGAAAGGGTAGTCGATTAGCAAAAATTGTACAAAGACCTAAGTGGCGCTGCCCTACACCTGAATTGACTCCTTGCCCTTGCGAATTTCATTAATTTCAGCTACTGGCTATATAACAGTGGTCGAGTGGAATTAATAGTTGTTCGAGCCAACGCATCCGTCGACGACATTTACAGGTGAGTCATCAGCTTTCAGTGAAGGACCTCGAAAATAATCCAACAAGGAAGATCAGCTCTCAGAAACTGTCGTCTGTTTGAAAACCTGATCTTTCCTTTGTAGACACTGTTTCGCCCGAAAATCAACTGCCATATCTTCGTCCTGGCAATGATAGTCTTGACTGTGTGAATTATCCTTCAGTCAATGAACCCTTTCGTATTGCAATCAGAGCCTTCAATCTCAAGGTACGAAATTTTTTTCATATTTTCCAGTTATTTTTACTATTATATTCGATGCGATTTGTTTCCTTGTGATTTCCTTCGATTCTGACTCTCAAATCATATTGCTGAAAAAGGACTGCTATATCTTGAAAGATACTTTTGTAAGCTTTTCAAATACAAGAGGCAACCATGACCTCATTGCATGTAAAAGACGGCTGTGTTACGCCGATGAGCGACGCCGCCGGTCGCGGTCGAGCAGCTGGTCCGCACTTTGACGCTTTTCTTTGTGCAACGAGGGCCGTCTCCTGCCTTGCTTGGCATGGATCAATAGAGTGCAAAGGGGAATTAATTGCGCCTGTCTTGATTTTCTTGAATCCTTTAAAAAGAGAAAAAGGATAAACTATTTGCCGTTGTTCAATCCCCTTTTTGAGATGCGGTACGCATTCTACTTCCATTTGTAATTCGTGTGGCATTTGAATGCGATGTGGCCTATACAATGACTTGCGGGGGCCAGCCGATGTTCAAGTCAGTGTTTTTATCCTCCCAGACAAGTCTGGTACCAATTAACCGACCCCGGAGGGATGGAAGGCTTGGTTGGCCGGGCGACTCACGACAGGGTGAATATCGGTCGAGGAAATCCTCGACAGGGGGGTCGTACCTGTTGGGCTGGTCCATGGGGGGTCGTACTCTTGGGGGTCAGTAACAGAAGTGGTATCATGGTGCAGATAGGTAATAGGGTATAGCGCAGCAGAAAATGAAAACATCTGAAAAAACATGATATTAAATTTTCTTTGCAGGTTCAGTCGCTCCATTCCTCCACCTTCATGAGAAGGGCGTATTTGAAGGCAGTACAAAGAATGAAAGTGCATCCCCGCAAAGAAGTGCCACATGTGCGCACGCGCTGCAAAGGCACCTCCTCCGCCTATCACTCGCTCCTTCTCCCTTAATACCTCGCTGAGAATGACGCTGTTGTTAGGGACCCTGTCGGAAAAACGACAACCGTGAAGAAAAAGCGCTGGGCAAATGAAGTTGTTTTTTAGGTTACAGGAATAGCACAACACACTATGTCTACTACAATACAGTTTCGTTCGAAGGTCCCCATCATATAACACCTTTCAATCGATTCTGCAACTGTGAGTGGAGGAGGGATGCATGGCTTATACCAATACCAAATCGGATGATGACGATTGCTCCTATTCTTATTGTTTGCGTTCAAAGATATTGTTCTAGACACATTCCGAGTGTTGCCAACGAGTCACACTTGCAATGGTGAATGAGGGAGCGGATTTCCAGGTGGCCGGATCCGACCTCGATAGATCCTCGACGCAATTATCTCTTCAACCAAAAAGCTGTAGAAGAAAACTAAACAGACCATCAGGAAGCGCAAACCTTCCGCTTTCCAAAACTATCTTCCCTTTTTCAGGATCTTACAATATAAGAGATATATTGCTCTTGAAGTGGCAAAAACTCGCGTGAAAATTTGGGCCTCCTCGACATTTACTCGACGAAATTTGACAGACCCTATCTTTCTGCAAGGAAGGCTTCCAGAGCAATTTCGATGCTTGTTGGAAACGCGAAATCCAGCTCTATCTAACTCTACCTCAAGCTGCTTCAAAGGTTGTGAAATGGAGGAATGCAACCTTTTCATCGAGGGTGTAGATTCGGACGTTTTTTTTTGAAATTTCGGCAAATCTGACCCAGTGACAATCGCGCCGCAGCTGCCGTTGAATCGGCCTTTGATACACTCGGCTGTTTTGATATACTCAAGCAAGAATCAAGATTGAATCGCAACCCCGTGTCTTCAGGATTTCTGTGCGTTTCTGAACGAACCTCGCCTTGAGGTCACACAAAGTTAATGCCTCTTTCCTCGAGTCGATATTTCAGTATGTACACAAAAGTATGCAGCGATGGAAGACGTGCATAGATGACAAGATGAAGCGTCCTTAGCATTATTTTGCAGAATTTTTTTTGATTTGTTTTGCAGGATTTATTTTAATTGAATTAATTTGCTCTGTTAGAGGGGGTCGTGCCAGGATCTCGATTTCGGGGGGGGGGGTCGTACCTCTGCGACCACGTACTCGACACGATTTTCACCCTGGTCAGACCAGTTTAATCCGCGGTCCGCAACGCCTTGGCAGCGATGTCACTTTTGCCACTGCCCATTGCCCTTTTGAATTGAGCATTAAACTTTAGCCAAAAACTTTGAATGGATCAGAGCGATCGCTTCGGACAATGTAGTCAAGGCAGAGATGGCATTCTTGAAAAATAACATACGCATGGCGGATGATATGCGGAGAAATCACGTAAGACATCCTTTCTTGCTCAATTCTTTTTGTTGGTGTCCGAACTTTTTTGTGGATCGAAGTATTCCTAGTTTATTTGATGTTGAATTCTTCATTTGCTTATTTCTTCATTTGAGCATTCCCGTCAATATTCGGTTCAAAGCCACTGCTGCCGAAATCACCAAAGCCAATCGAGAAGCTTTCTGATTTGGACTGCGACCATCCGCAGAAGAAATGCAGGTCAAGATTTCTACAGTATAATCGTTTCCTATTTTCATAGACCCTTTGAAATGAGGAATTCGAAATGCAGATCAGTCATGGTTTGATTCTTCGTAGCTCTTTTTTCTGCGACGTTCTGGATTGGGGGGGGTGATCTAGAATGAGATGAAATATTCACAAAAGACAAAGTGCGAAAAACGTAAGAATTCCAGTGGAAGCAAGGCTGGGTATCGCGTGTCAGAATGGCGAATGGTCGTATATCGAAGATGGCACGAATTGATGGAGGTTGCGTTTTTTCCAACCCAGTTCATCATTGGTCTAGGCACACATAACGGCTCGAGCCATAGGGTGCTTACTCGCCTTATCTCTCCTCTTTTCCCCCCTGAATGCTACCAAGCCCTTGAATAGGTACTAAACACTGGAATCATAAACATGTTCGAAAAACAAGTCGACTGCGTAGCACATTCTGAAGTGATCATAGCAAAAACCAAAACCTGATCCCCTCCGCTTACAAAACTATTGGAGTGTGGGGAGTCTCGTGGGCTATCACGACCTAATACACATCATCAAGCTAATGCAAAATAATCACCCAGCTTCGAAATAAGATCTATTTAACATTCTCACTTTCCAGCACAATCTGTGACGAAGTCGCAACCAATACTGCAAGCATTACAAAAGCATAGATGATCGACATCAGCTGAAATATTGCGATACACTCAATTCACGATTCATGAATCGCAAGGAAGATAGCTTTAGAATAAATAGAACTGTATAATCGGAATTCCTAACATTCCTTATTAAACTAGTCTTTATTCCTTAACCTACCTTGGCATATAGCAGCTGCACATTGGACTCGGTAGTAAAACATATTACGATGAACAAACTGATTGGAATGCCGTTGTACAGCATCACCCTTGCTGAGTCAACACCAAACGCGGCCACCTGAACTAATATTTTTTTCTTAATTTGATCAAAAACAGAAGTGTTACTAGTTAAAAGGCTATGGATCAACCTCCAGGGTTCAACCCCTAACAAATAACGAAGCGACAGTGCAAAACTTCATAGAGAAGCAGTTAGTTAAGCACAAGATGAAGTGATGCAGCCGTTAGTGAAAATGACTAGTTTAAGAATCCGCCGAGCCCCTAGCTCAGTGGCAGAGCGTCTTGTCTTGCAAACAGAAGGCCTGTGGTTCGATCACGCACGGAGGCAATCTCCTTTGTTCAAATGACAGATATCAAAAACACCCTGTCCCCTACGATACCGCTCTACCAGCACGGTACCAAACTGTGGCTATCGCGGTGACAACCCCTATGAACTCCCCATTCCTTTTGTTAACTTGATTACTTTTGCCGCACCGGTCTAAACACTTGCATGGCGTACTCTACAAGGACGATAAAGGCCTCCATTGTGGTCACATTTAACGACAGTTCAGCTGCCAATATGAGTGGATCGTGCCGATTAGTTCCCACGCCTCCATAGCTCAGTGGCAGAGCGTCTGTCTTGTAAACAGAAGGTCTGTGGTTCGATCCCGCATGGAGGCATTCGTTTTGTACAATTGGACAGTCGCTCAAAGTACAGGACCCCATTTTACCTGGTAAAATAGCACGACTAAGCTAGGGTTAGCTTGCTACGTCCGAATCAACTATTTCAATAGTCTTTTTTTGAAATAATCATTCGAGTAATTGTATCAGCTCAATTATTTTTTTTTAGATTCGATTCCTCTATGAGAACGCTAACATAGGTCCTTGTTAAGCGTATTAGATTAACAATTCGACTTTCTACATAGGAACGGGAAAAACCACTTATAACCACTGCGAGTTTAATTTCTATTGGGATCTTTGAGGAACAGATTATCATAGCACAACTCCTAGGATAGAAACTGCTTCTAGCGACCCAGTACTAAACTCCTGGAGCTCCGCGTAATCATTCTAGCGAGTTCAGAGTATTAGTTCATGGCCTATTTTAATGACTGCCCCTTGTTGGAACCACACCTAACAGCTGTCTGCAGCGATCATGTTAAGTACGTTCTCGGCGCACGGACATGTGCCTCCATAGCTCAGTGGCAGAGCGTCTGTCTTGTAAACAGAAGGTCTGTGGTTCGATCCCGCATGGAGGCATCCGTTTTTGCATATTTCTCTAGCATTAGAGTCCATGACCCATACTGAAATGGACCACTATTTCATATCATCCTATGCAAAACAGAGCCACTGAATTTTCCAAACACAGTAAGCTAGTGCTTTGAAAACGTAACGACAAAATTTCACTATATTCTCACTCTTTTCAAACTTTTTTTTCTTGAAAATAACGTTATAGACGTCTAGTGAAATGTGACCAGTAGATGATTGCATGTTGCAGTCGTGAAAGACTGTGTCCAAGTAGCCAGATCACTTTCGTACGAGCTGCTCGTATAGCATACATTATAGTGTAATGATCACTGAACACTCGAACACAGTCCTGTTGCCAGATAATCATTAAGACCTTAAGGAGCTCTATCTCGAGTCTCGAAATCATAGACTTTCGCGACTTTTGGTGCCGACCCCAAAATTAAGAACGAAGGTGATACATTATACGAAGTTATACGAAAGCGACATGCATGAAAATGACCACTTGGGCCCAGTCACAACGAAAATGCGGTGGCTAGGAAGGATAAATTGCATTATAGTGCGCTATATTGAAGCTGAGAAAAAAAGAAAACGCGTTTCTTTAGTCAAGAGGAGTGAATAAAAGAATTCTGTAATTGTTCTACGAGACTAGAACTTTTGAAAGCATCAGATAGCCGTTCACCTGTTGCAAATACGAGCATAGTGAAAATAATTGCAGGGCCGAGCATCGAGAAGAAAATTACCATGAACTGATAGGAAATATAGGACATCGATATTGAATCATTGTTTTCTGAGGCTCTCTGAAAGAAGCTGCTAAAACACAACATATCACAAATAGTTTTTTAGGAGGCAGCTGACACTTAGGATACCAAATCTGGCTTATCGTCTACCTCTGTGTTTCCACTCCAGAACTGATTGGTATTTCTCCAAAACACTTTTTTCTACTAAGATGATTTGGATTGTCTCTCACCTTATAATCAGACAGGAGGTCGATTGTGTTAGCAATTGATGAGGGTGTCCAGCGTCGACGTTGATTGAAGAACTCTTCAAAACCTTCTGGAGCATAGGTTTCCGCGTCCGATGCAGCCACGTACTCGATACGGTATCCCTAAATTACTCCATCAGCATGAAATGATCATGCCTAATAGTTTAAATTGGTATGTAACACACCTGTTTCAACATAAGAGTACTGAGCCATCGATCCTCTCCTTGATCATATTGTACAAAGTGACGAGGTTCTTGGGCAGTCTTAGTATACCTTAAATATACAAGAAGGTCGCACTGAAACTGGAGAATGAAAGGTTATGCTCATATAGCTGAGGTTACATCTCTGGCACATTCGGGGTCATACTGGAAAGCATTTCCAAATAGATGAAGATCAAACTAACTTGTGCATGATATTATCATCCATCAGCGCCGAAGCACGGAACAGAGAGAAGCACCCAGGAGCACACAGCACACATCCGAATACGTGCTCAGCTGCTTTCTGGAACCAGTGTGCGATGGCATATTCGAATTTTTGGTACCACACCATGACACCTGTAAAACGAGGCTACGCCGCACTCTCGATAATTTTTCCGATAATTTTTCAATTAGAATAGTGGCCGATTGGAGAGAGAATTTCAACTAGTAGGAAAGAGCAGATGCTACCATAAACATTATCATTATCACACGGGGTATTCCTCTGAACACCGCTACAACAATTTTTCAGGGAATCAAGCTAAGAAGGAAAATTGATTCAGTTTCGGAAAAAAAGGTAAAGGTTGTGAAATAGCATACCTGAACCAATAGGATGAATCCGACCACAAGCACACCCGATATCACTCTTAGTGTTCATAAGATTCAATAATCGCATTACTGCCTTAATGTTTCAAGAATAAAATTTCACATCATCACGAAGAATTTGACTCCTAATCAAAGAATAAACTTCAGATCAAAGTGGAGGGGTAGGTGGATAATGGTGTTGCGGACTGGCCGGAGATACTGAATTTGAAAAGAACCAAAGCAAACCGTGATGAACCATAAACAAAATATTTCCCTCTCTCCTGAAGTTAAGAAGCGCGGTCAGATGAGTTGTCTAAACGTGCTTGTTCATGCTCCTTGCCCGCGCATGTTTAAATGGTTCAGTGGCGTACTCGGTAATCCACGCTGGTGTTAAGGCCGAGCGCTTTATCTCGGGAGTGAGCATTAGCCGCCATTAAATTGTCTATGTAAGTGCCATTGTCGCGTACTCCCGAGCAGCGGCAACGACACATCTGTGATATTCGTGGCCCTATTCTATCCCACCTCACTTAAACAGATTCTCCACGACCTCATCTGGGCTTATTGCTTTAATTCCAAAAAGTCATTGAATGGTTTGATACATACCTCTGGTTCAAACTTGGAGTCCCCATCAATAGCAAGAATGAAAGTGTTGTCGGCCATTTGTTGACGATCTTCAATGCTCAGTGGTGAATTCCATAATACGTATGACCAAGCAGATAGTACATGTACATAACCTCAAAATTTTTGCTTACCTTTTCTTATTTCTGAGCTACACGAATGAATTCTTATTCAGTGATAGAACCGCCTTACAAAAGGAGAGGTCAAACCTGACTCCATCTCTTCTTATGTCTGATGAGCTTCTTATCCTTCAGGTGTACAAATAACAGCGTACCGGCGGGTAACCTCACCACTAATCTTCCACCATATGGAGTATTTACCAAAATTCTTGACATTATCGAGCCAGATTCATCAACGAACTCTCTAAAATGTAGAAAAAATACTGAGTGATCAATCGTAATATAATTTATATATGTATGCCCTATAATGAGATCCCGCAGGTAAACCATACCCAGGAAACTTAGAAGAAAGGTCGTCGATTTGCAAAATTGAGAAAAAAAATAAATAATTCAAGAATGTGTAAACATAAACGAACATGTGAGCCTTCCTTCTCACTTCCTATTCCCATGAAGACCACAAAAACGCTCACACAAACATTATTTATTCAAAAGTAGTGATCCCTTACCCAGTCAGCTCACTTAGAGTCTCGAAGAATGTGCGGAAGAAATCGTTCGGAACTCGTTTAGTGATATTCAGCTCCGTCCGGTCTTCCCATGCATCATCAAAAAATATGTGACCTGTAGTAAACGAAAAACTACATCAACACATACACGCCGGTGACAACCCATTCTATGGGCTGCTAGGTAATGATCATATGCTTTTAGAATTTTACTTGTAACTACCCAATTCACGGACTGAGTGAGGCCGGACGCATAGTCGGTCGGACGACAGCAACGACTGCAAGTGTCGCACAGCATTGGGTGCGTATCGATCTGCGACACCTGCGGTCGTTGCTGTCGTCCGACCGCTGCTGTCGCAGATCGATACGCACCCAATGCTGTGCGACACTTGCAGTCGTTGCTGTCGTCCGACCGACTACTATGCGTCCGGCCAGGCGGCGGCCGAGTATCCCACCGGAAAGCGAAAAAAGGTGCCGCCGTGGTTATGCTAAGAATGACTAGGAACTTGGCTTTGCTCATGAAGAACATCACTGAGGAATCGTGAAGGTGCTCTTATCAGCAACATTATGAACGAAACAAACCCACCTTCAAGCCTGAAACGCAACTGGTCCGTCTTTTTAGCTCCTAGTCTTCGCGCATGTTCCTCATCCAATCTAAAATAACATCGATCTTCAAAATTCGTCCTCTATTCAAGAACTAAGAGCGAAATTCAGATCTTGAAAAAACCAATCAAAAAACCGGATGTCACAGAAAACGACTCACTTCAGTATACTACGCAACATCTGTGCCATTTCAGTTGCCGTCTCATGCCACATGGTTGCACACATGTATAGCGTCAATATGCGATCAACCTACGGTAAATAGAAAATAACATTATCAGAGTAAGAGGCCTTCCCTTAAAAGACTACCTACCTCATCGTTCCTAACTCTCAATTCATCGTCAGGATCCCCATGATCGTCATCGATGTCTAATATTGGCTCCTGACGAAAAGAATTGGAAGATCAAATATATATTAAAGAACCTTCACAGTTCCTTTACCGCTTTACTGAGCGAAATATGAAACACAGCAAGTGATTGTTCTATACAGAACCCATTAGATACGGGCGGCATTGAGTCAACTCTGCAAAAAACCTCCTGAAAGCAAGAAAGAAAGTGATAGTCTGAATAATCTGTCTTACACTTCATCACATTTGTCGTAGGACTTCTGGCGTACAAACTGATAGCCACGATAGGCCCCTACTGCCAGCCATATCATACAGATATACCAATCGTCAAATGGACGAGTCTTTCTCCCCCATTGATCGCAACTCCAACGTAGACCCAACCTTGCAAGAACCTGTGCAATTCAAAACTTCCGCTATCAGATAACGCAACAACATTTCAAAGTAGTGAACTGCACAGTTTTTTACCGATAAATTGCATCCGTAGCAAATGAAATGTAAAAAAAAACTGAAATAACTGCTTTCGTATTCTACATATTATCTCTTAGCCCTAATGTGAATTGCGTAGTTGCGTAGCCTATATTTACGAGTGACTAGTCAAGACAGCGACCGAGTATCTATGTCTAATACGAAAGCGATCACAGAAGCTCACAAAATGCTCTCTAGAAAAGCTTTTGGTATATCATTGGCATTCTCTTATGGATATAAATTCGAAGATAACAGTAGAACAGCTAAAGTAGCCACTTACGTTAGCAATCCCACAAAGTCTTTGATTACAAATGAATGCAACGATAGCATATCCTACGGCTGGCACAATAGTGACTGGATGGAAAACGGAAAACGCACGCATTCCAATTGCTGCAAGGAAGCGAGCGCACCCGCGAAGTGAGAAATTTAACAGGATCAACCCGAAGCCGAGCAAGATCAAACGGCTGTAAAACTCTGGTCTGAGTGCACTAGAATAGCAATCTATGAATCTGATTAAACTTACGTGTGCCTGAAACCGAAGCTGTACGAAGTCAGAACATTGAAGAACAAGTGCGGTTTGACCCTTCCTTTTGCTGCATAAATCATCACCACAAGAACAATAAAAATACGGACGGCAGCTATCATTAGACGGGTTGAGATGTTTAGTTTCCTTAGACCATATTTCACCTAGGCAAAAACAAACGATAAAGCCTTGAGAAGAGAGCCTCGATCTAGGTTGATGATAGGTCTACTCGGACGAGCACAAGTGCAGTAGCAGTGGACTCTTGTAATCTGCGTCTCTCGCTGTACATATCCAGGGTACATGCGGTATACGAGGGTTTAATGCCGTTGAACCACCTGCTACTAGTTGAACTACATTCCCTATCCCAGTCAGGGTGGGCGTGGATTCGAAGTTTTCGATAAGCAAGCCATAAGGTAAGGGTCGCAAGACTGCTTCCAGCTGTTTTGCTACTTTTCAAAATCATTGGACCCCTCTCGTCTTCTTTGTAAAAAGACAAGCCAGCTGAAGAAAAAGACAAGCCAGCTGAAGCGACAAAACGTTTTTGGTTGAGCATATTGCATATAATTCTACAATGCATGTTGCTAGCCAGGTTCCTAGACATTTCCTATCCAGGTCTGTAGGTACTCCCCCTCGGACACTGTGATATGGAGTGTGTACACGTGACACACACCAACTCAGCCCCCAAACTCCAAGAGCCCGATGACAAATGGGAGGAGGAGGAGTATTTGTGAATACAAATTTTACTCCTGATTCAGCAAATTCTGCAGATTTCGCACAAAACGAGTCCCTCCCTCCGACATGCTCCGAAAACAAGTACGACTCTCCTTGCGAAAATCACAAACCACCTTGCTCCTTGGATTTGGCGAAACCGATGATTGATCATGCTCCACTGATGACATCTACCTGTCATCAGATCGCTTTTCACGAGCCAACGGCGATTAGAACATGAGCAGTTCCTCACTATTCGTGGGTCTCGTTCCTCACTATTCGTGGGTCTCTAGTAAGGGGGAGGGGTACATGTGGCGTGACAGTTGTATCACCTTAACACGTTGACGACATCGCGTGTTTTGGCATTTTGCACCGCGTGGGACAGGAGCGATTTTGCGAGCGCGCCGTCCTCACCTTACTTCGCTTATTTTTTGTTTAAAATGCACAACAAACTTGAATCTCATAGAATTATTTCGGCAAGGATGAAAGCATAAAGGTTACTATATAAATACCAGTAGATTTTTGTTTAGAAGAACCATAATGACCACGAAGAAGCAAAAAATCCACTTTCGCTGCGAATGAAGTTAAAAGCATTTATACCTAAGTTTTTCCATCAAATACAAATATCTTGAAACTCACAGAGTTTTGTATTAACTTCTTCTACAATCTTTCATATGAATGTTTACGACAGTGAAAGGAATACTAGGAAAGAATTGAAATGAAAGTTTTGTGCGTTCAGAAAATCTTTGCTAAATCAAGGGATATTTGACCACTCTGGCTGCCATGTGGTTTATAGTTATGCTAATGTATTATCTATAGAATGAATACAAAAACTCGAGAAGAAGGAGCGCAAGCACATAAAAATGAATGAAATAGTTCTGACGCGCATGCGCGTCAGCCTGTCGTCAACGTGTTGAGCAATCCCGCTTTCGCAGAGAGGGAAACCTGGTGAGGTAAAAACGGACCCTTAATTTTGTGCAAAAATCGGAAATTCTTTGTCAGCACTGTCGCACCACATGCCATTCTCCTTACAAGATGGGACGGTTACGTTCAAACAACAAACCTGGTAGAGCTCATGGAAGGTAGTTCCCGTGTGTTTCTCGGACACCCATGATTCCCAGAATCCGATGGATATCGTAAATAAGCCTATTGGCAAAACCCAAATTCCCTGAAAAAGGTTTTGATAAAACTTGTCAGAATGTGAAGGAGGATTCATCGTAGCTTTTGCTGGCAACTTCAGATTAAAGCGTACTGTATTTGTGTGAAACAAACGTAGCACTTTAAGACGTAAAACACATAAAGTGAAAATTACTCTCTCTGAATGCTTCGATCCGAAGGCCCACAAAGAGCTAGGAACTTCATTCATTCACGAAACTAACGTGAAAAGGTGTTTCCATAACATTCCACAGATACGTTGCACTGAAAAGAGCTAGGAAGAGGACAAGATGAGGCAAAGTTGTTGCCGATAAAACTAAAAGGATTCAGAATATCAAAAATATCGATGTACAAGAAGCATAGAGCTCCGTGCGTCAGTCAGAAGGCCAAAAGCGTTGACGCAAAGAGCATTCCATAGGGCATTAAAACAGCTACTCACACATTCTTGTGCCAAAAGAACGGCCAGGCCTAAAAGTTCTTGATATTGTAGATAAAAGTTGTTGTAATGCAGTGACAATAGGGAAACAGGCACAAAGACACAAGCATCGGTATAGGTCCAGTTGAGGAAAAACTGTGAAGATGAGTAAGGAGAGTCCGAAAGCGCGGAGGGATTCGAGCACAACGAACTGGAAAAGTTTCATTGTGAAAGCAATTTGTGTGTAAAGCTTTATTAGGATTGATTCTTTGTAGAAAGGAAATGAAAAAACGTTTGATGGAAATACTCACAACAACTCTTACTCTTCCAGCTTTATCACCGCGACAAAAGCGCATTAACGATCGCATTATTGCCACCATGTCTGGTACTATTTGAATGAACAGTAAGGCCAAATACATGGCAGCCACTCCTCTCGGAGTCCGTTGTACTGAAAACAAGCTACATATGAAGCACTGGACTAGTGACATCAGTGGCCCTATTAGGCTGGTGTCAGAGTCCGCGATCCGTCGCAGGTTTCGCTGATTTCAGCGATTTTCGCGATTTGCGCGATTTGCGCGACGGGTCACGGAAATCACAAGTGCCCCATCAATACTGCAAGGTGTTCTCCAATCCGCCGCCACTTCTGCTTGATAGTGATGGCTGAATGACGACTGCCCTCATGATTCCACTTGTTTGATATTATAGAATCTAGAATTATAGGATAGAATAGGAACGAATCATGAGCATTTCAATGAACTGATAGACATTGAACATGAAACAAGTAGAATCACGAACAGTCGTCTTTCAATCTTCACTGTCAAGCAGAATTCGCAGCAGGATTAAACAACACCTCGCAGTATTCATCGGGCACTTCCAACTCCTGTGATCCATCGCAGGTTTCGCGCAAATCGCGCAAATCGCAAAATCGCTGAAATCAGCGAAACCTGCGACGGATCGCGGACTCTGACACAGCCTTACCTAAACCGGACCGACGGACGAGCCATGACGTTTTTCCAGTTCTGTTTTTGCTCAGTTTATTGGCCGATGTCAGACTCTGCGATTGGAGCGATTCGGTCAAATGTGAACTGCAGGAGCGCAGGAGCGTCGCGCGATGCGAGCGACGGGAGATTTACACACGCCAAGACCACCGACAATTCGGCGCCATCAGTCGTAAATCTCCCGTCGCTCGTGTCGCGCGACGCTCCTGCATTTGGGTGCTAAAATGTGCCGATCCGCGACCATCGCGAAAAATCGCCGGCGATCGTCGCGACGACCTTCACCTTTGACCGAAGTCGGCTTGGCAAGTCGCAGAAGTCTGACATCGGCCATTGAAGGCTACTTTGCAAACTTGACGGTACTACACAAATCTGAGGACAAAACAAAACCGACAAAGATCAGATGGCTCATCCACAGGGCAAGCCCCAGAGCCGGTCTGCTGACGTTATATGGCATCGAAACCCACGGTGGAGACGGCGTTTTCATGGAATGCTTATGGCGCGGTGACTGGAGCAAAAATTTTAGCACCACTCACCAGGAATTCTGGAACATCGTCGTGCGTACGGGTCCGAATGATACTTTCTGTCCCAGATATTGGTAGCAAGAATCAAGACGCAGATCTTTGAAATGGCGGCACCAAACATTAGAAACGTGTTGCATACAAAGAAAAGGAGAAGCTGAAATATTCTTTGATAATCGGCTGACTTCTACAAGCCACTTCTGCAGATTTTGAAGGTTTTTCGAACCTGAAGAGAAGTATTCCAACTATGTTTAACAAGTTGACAAGAACATGCGCTCTAACTTTTTGGGCCGCGTGAGACCGGCGCGAGTTTACGAGCGCGGCCACCTCGCCTCATC